TGTGGAGCTGAAGGGTCCTGCGGGGAGGTACAGGCAGGGAGAGAGAAATAGAGGTAAGTGGAGATAGGGAGTCAGAGGCCGGGCAGGGAGGTCTAGGCAGCTGGGGGGCCTCACTTTCTGAGGCACAGAGACCGGCGGGCTCCAAGCCGGGCTTCCTAGACTGGAGCAGGCATTGCGCTTCCTCTTCAGCTCTGTGGGATCTCGGAGAGCTGCTGGCAGCCTCCTGGTCCTCGCCGCAATTTCCCCAAGAGGCTCTGCCAAGCCTGGCACCTTGGAGCCTGGGCCTCGGCTCAAATTCAGAGGCTGGTGAAGCACCTCCCTGCTGCCTGCGCAGCTCCAGGCCTCCTCCGTGTCGGAGCGCAGGGCCTTCCCTCCCCCGTGACCTCCGCGGCCGGCTCCCAGGCGCACCAGGCCGGGTCCAGCGCCCGCTCTTCGCGGGGCCCCGACGAGCAGGGTCCGGCCAGCGGAGGGGCCGTCCTCAGACCAGGGCCGTGCCGGCCGTCGCGGCGGTACTCGGAACCGACATCAGGAGCGAGCGCGGGCCAGAGCGTGTAGGTGTGAGAATGTGTGCTGGGCATGGTCGGTAGACGGAGCGCGGGACGGTGGCGCGTGGGCCCCGGGGACAGGGAAGCGCCTGGCCGAGGAACTGCGTGCGCGCCCGGGAGTCGGGCTGGGGCAGGGGGTGCGTGAGGGCGGGGAGCCCAGGCCGGCTCGGTGGAGGGCAGCCGTCTGGAAGGGGCCCCATCCCGGGCAGGCCCCTCGGAGAGCAGCCCGCGTGCGGCCCGCGCCAGCGCTCGGGGCGTGCCGTCCTGGTTGTCAAGCCTCGGGCGGGAGCCGCGCAGCACGGCCGGGCCTCTCGCCCGCTCTTCCCGCCCCTCTAATCTAAACCATGCGGGCTCCCAGCCCGGGCCCGGCAGGCGGGACCGAGGGCCGCAGGGAGGGCACCGGGCCGCGCGGTGGGGGAGCGGCGGCCCGCTCTGGGCTGGGGTCCTGGGGCCGCAGAGCCTGGGGACCCCTGAGACCCCCTCCACGGGGGGCGGCAGGCGCAGACTGATTGACGGCGTCGACGTCAGAGGGGGGGGGCGTCCCCGCAGGGAGGGAGGGAGGAGGAGGGAGCTGAGGCCCCAAAGTGCAGCCTCGGAGATCAAGGGCCCGCTCCAGAGCCGGGATGTGACCGGCCCGAGGGCGCGGTGGGCAGCGGGATCCTGACCCAGCGCCCGATCGGAGCCCCAGCTGCCCGGTGTTCCTCGGACCCGAGCCTGCAGTGGACTCGGGCCGCAGGCGCCTCCGCATGCGGCAGCGCAGTTAGGGTGAGTGCGGGTTCTGGCGGGGATGGGGGTGAGCCAGGCGCGCGGACGGGGGCCAGCCTGAGCCCAGGGTTAGCCCGCCGGGCGGAGAGGACGGTGAGCTGGCAAGTGGGCGAGTAACGGGACCGGGGCAAGAACCTCGGGGACGGCCCAGGCGACGGGAGGGCAGCGAGAAGTGCCTCAGATCTGGCTGCCGCCTCGGCCTGATCCCCAGCGGCTGAGGCGTGAGCCCTCCTCTCCGAGTGACCGGACGGACTGGGTCTAGGAACCCAAGAACAGAGAAACGACAGAGCCAGCGCCAAAGGAACGAGGTTAAGCCGCGGTGGCCTTGAAATTGGTGTTTGCAGAATAAGACAGGCCACGGAAGAGGGCCCAGTTATTTGCGGTAAATATCAACGTAGAAATGTGTGTGCTGGGAACACTAGACTTCAGAGACTTTGATGTAACTGGCTTGTCAAAATTAAAGGAAAGGGCATTTATATGTAATAACGATCGGTGATCAAGAATTATCAGAATGTGAGCAAGCAGTTACCAAAGAAACAGGGCTAGGTGGGATAACTAATACAGTACTCAGACTTTAAAACAGCAATAAAATAATAGTCACTTTCATAACCAAGTGAAAATTGTAACCGCAAATTTAAAAGAATCACAGACAAAGTAACTTTAAATATAGGGACAGTGTGATAAGAAACATCATATTAAAATCAATAGCAATAGCATAAGAAATAGTAACAGAGTAACAAGTGATAAAAGATAGGGGAAATGTGAATAAGATATATTATTAAGGGAAGTGCTAATATTAGTAAAGTTGACAGAATACTATCATATAATTTATTATTGATACTGTCATGAATCAGTAAAATAAATATTAACCCAAATCTAAAGATCGATGGTAGTACAAATAAAGACAGCAAGTAGAATTGCTGGTGATATGACAATTTATGACCAAGGTATTAATAGCCCCAACAACATTACAAATAATGGCAAAGTAATAAGAAGTATTGTGCCAGTGTAATGAAAAATAATCAGAATATTAAGAACTACAGCAATATTGCAAATTATGACAAAGTAACAAGTAACGATGTGATGAAAATAACTAGCGAATTAAGGTCTGCAGTGTTACCAGATATTGTAACGATGTGATGAAGAACGCATGGAATATTATGAACAATCTTAACCAAATAAATAATGAAATAGCAAGAAATATTAAATATTATAAGGATGTGAAGAAAATGTGAACAATGAGAACAATAATACTAAGCTATGGTAAATGAGGTTTTGAAACCGTAACAAAGTACAAACAGAGGCTGAAGAAACATTTTAGGGGGACAGAGTGAAAATTAAAATATGCTGGATTATCATGACCTATTGAAACTCTGGCCCTAGAATGATGGAGCTCTGACGGGAAAGCAAGAGGCCCATATTTAATAATGATGACTTAAATCAGACCCATACTTTAACCATATAGTATTAAGAATAAAAAGTACCAATAATTTATGTGATAGGATAAATATTCTTAGTGTTATTGAACTGAGCAGACTGCTACTCTAATAATAGAGATAATTAAAATATAACACTTCCCTCAGCGCAAGAACAATATCACCATAGTCTAGAGTAAAAAGAAAAATGCTCTTCATGGAAAACGAGGCTGCTGAAAGCAGGCAGCGCGGAGCCGAGCGGCATCGCCCGCAGAGGGTCCACGAGAGGGGCGAGCGCGGGCCGCGGACTCGGGCTGGGTGCGGACCCGGCTGTGCCGAGGGGACCGCAGGGACGGCCGCTCTGCGCCCGCCGGGCGGGAAGGAGAGGAAGTTAGCAGGAGCTCCCGGGCTGCCGGGATTTGGCTCCTTGACCGCGAGAAAAGGAAGAGGTGAACCCCGAGGAGGGGAAGGAGAGCATGGGCAAGCCCTCGTCCCGAGTCTGGCGGCGGATTGGCGTCAGTGGGCGCCGGCGGCCGACGTTCTCGGCCGGGTGCGAGCTGGAGGGCGCCGCTGCACGGCCCTGGGTGTGACAAGTGTCCCGCAGAGGACCTACTGGCCAAGGCAGCATCGCGCCAGGCGGCCCCCCCTCCTGGCCCAGCGCGTGCTGGCGGTACCTTGGACCAGCGGATATTGGGCGCCCGTCCCGACTGGCACCAGTTATAGTCAAATCCAGCGCCTTGGGCCAGAGCGCCCAACGACCCTCGCCGCGCAGCGTCCCCTCACCCGGGGGCTCCCGGGTTTCCCAGTCGAGGCCCCGGAACCTGCACGTGGCCCGAGGCGGGCTCTGGCTCTGGCCCTGCCGGCGAGCCTTGCTCCCTGCTGCCCGTGGCCTGGGGACCAGCCGGGTTGTCAGCCTTATCTTTACGGGCTTTTCCCAGCCCCGACTGGCCGCGGCCCCTTTTTTATCTCCTCGGTTGCACTTGGCTTATTTACTTTGTGAGGCCCTGGGAGCCGATGTCTAAGCCCTGGGATGGGGAGGCCAGTGGACAGGAGGGACCAGGGGTCTGGATCTTGGATTGCCCAGAGTGATCCTGGGAAGAAGGGAACAGAAAGAAGGTAGGAGGAGAAAGGGGGAGCATTCTGCCACAGACATACCATATAGAAAGGCACCCAGGCACATAGAAAGTCCCAGCAGAACCTGCTCAGATCCGGAAGAAGGGAGAAAAGCAGGGAGGTGGAAGGGGAATCAGAAACAATGCAGGGTTGCACCCATGATGGGGGCAGGATAGGCAGGTCCTTGCAGGCTGGGCTCTCATCCTGATGTCCTGGGACCAGCAGGCACATGGGCAGGTGGGTGAATAGCCCTAGACAATTGGGGAAGGATAGTTGTGCCCTGGGGGAGGACTAGGCTGTGGTTGTGAAGGGGCCCCACTCAAATACCCTGGTCCTTAGCTGGGAAGAGTCTGGGCCCCTTGCCCCAAGGCAGAGCTTTAGAGCTAAAAGTGTGGTGAGTGAGTTAGTGAGTACAAACGTAAAGGCAAGGCTGGGGAGGCCCCTGGCTGAGTTCAGGGCCTGACGCAGCCCAGCCGCAGGGGACCGTGGCTGCTTGGGTGACTAGGAGGCTGCGTGAGGGTGCTGCGTCTGGTGTGAGGATGCGTACGCTGCGTGGGTGACACAAGGTGTCTGCGGGAGTGGGAATGCGCAGGAGTCAAAGCCGTTGGTGTAGGAAGGCTCCACCTGACTGCTGTCCGAGGGAGGGGGTGAGGGCCGATGGGTGAGCAGGGGCAGGCGGGGCTGCGGGGCGCTGGGCCTTTCCTGCAGGTGTGGAGCCCCAGGAGCCTGGGTCCTGCCCTCCTGGCTTGTTTCTCTCCTTTCTGCCCTGGCCCAAGAGTGAGCCTGGACTCCAGTTATCAGGGAGTGGACCCCAAAGACCCGGGTCTCCGGCTCTACTGGAGCCCAGCAGGAGGGAGGGACTGGGGGTACAGCTGGGGCAAGGCTGAGAGGCGGTCCTTCCTCCCAGACCTACTCATCACACAGCCCCACACCCTGAGCAGGCAGACCTTGAGCCACAGGGAGACCCTCCCGGGTCCAGAACCCGGAGGGAGGAGGCGAGGACCCTGCCCTGGCATATCCTCCCTCCCCCAGCTCAGGAGGGGGCGGGGTCCACGTGCGCCAAGGCGGCCTCCCCACCCCGCCAGAGCTCAAGAGGGCTGCGGGGGTCCTCTGGCCAGTGCGGACCTGGGCCTGTGACTGGTGTGTGCTGTACCCGCAGGAGATGCTGCAGGATAAGGGCCTGTCGGAGAGCGAGGAGGCCTTTCGGGCCCCGGGCCCAGCGCTTGGCGAGGCCAACGCCGCCAACGCCGCCAACGCCCCTGAGCCCGCGCTGGCCACGCCGGGCCTCAGCGGAGCCGCGCTGGGCAGCCCCCCGGGCCCCGGGGCCGACGCCACTACCGCTGCCGCCGCCGCAGAGCAGGTAGGTACATGCTCGCTGTCGGGTAGGGGTCGGGCGTTGGTCTGTCTTCAGGGCCGCCCGTGCGAGTCGGTCCGCCCCACTGCGGGCAGGACTCGCTGCCTGGGGGACCTGGCTATGTCCTGGACGGTCTGCCTGCTGTTGCTCCCGGGGGGCTCGCGAGCTCTGCCTGTCATCCCTCCTCCACTAGGATCTCTCTGGGCTACTCTGGGACAGGTGGGGGAGGGGACGCTGGCGGCAGCGGAGGGAGCCCAGGCCAAGTGTTCAGTTCCTGCGACCTGAGAGGTGGGAGTGGGGGGTCAACGCCTGGGACTGGGTGGGAAGAACACCCCGACGGGCCGGTGTGTGCGGGAGATAGCGCGGAGCTCGAAGGCCGTGGGGACGTCACTGGGAGGGTCACGCTGATAACCTGACGATGACAATGAACGGAAGGCACCCCTGCATTCAAGCCTTCAACCTGTGCGGGTCCGCGGTTGCGCGCGTCTGGCCGAGGAGGTGGCCTCCTGGGTCGGTACGTCTGCTGCCAGCCTGTGGCCATGTCCGCACGTGGAATGTTTGAGTGTGTGTGCAAGTGGGTCCTCTATCCCGGCACGGGCAGTGTATGTGTCCTCTGCCGGCCCGTCTACAGGTGCAGCTCCGAAGGAGGGGCTTCGGCTACTGATTACATGTTTTACAAATTCATCAATGATACCGAATAATTTCGTGAAATGAAATCTTGAGGCGTGGGCTCCCGGGACTGGCAGTGTTTCTGCATAGTTCCTTGGGCCTGTGTTCCCCTTTCTGAGGGCTCCGCTGGGGCCGCTGGGGCCGCTGGGGCCCGGGGCCAGGCCGACACAAGTCGCCCTCCCTCCCATCCCTAGACCATCGAGAACATCAAGGTGGGCCTGCACGAGAAGGAGCTCTGGAAGAAGTTCCACGAAGCGGGCACGGAGATGATCATCACCAAGGCCGGCAGGTCAGCCCTGGGGGATGTACTCGGGGTGGGGGGCGGGATGACGGGCGGGAGCGACGCAGGCCCCGGGGCGCCCTCCGCAGTCCTCTCGGCGTCCCGCCCGGTGGGGTAGCGCCGGAGCTCCTGCCGCGCGGGCCTAAGCCCCTGGCCAGGACTGCGGGCTGGAGACCGCGCGCAGGAGGCTACCCTGCCAGGGAGCGCGGGGCTGGAAGGAGGAGAGGGCCGCGCTATGTAAATGAATGCAAATAACGACCACAACGCGGGGTCCCTGCAAGGGCAGTTTGGGCCCCCTGGGGGCCTGCTTTGCCCTCCTCCTTTCGGGAACCTGAGGGGTTTCTCAGCACTGCATTGACTGGGGACCTGGAGATGCCCCTCAACAAATGGAGGAAGGGGACAGGGCCCTGTTTTCCTATTTCCATAAGGTCTGGCGAGCAGCGCGAGCCCCACGTCTGTGGTCCCACGGGTGCTGCTGTCTGTTGCCAGTCCCCCCCTGGGGCCAAGGGGCAGGCACCGCTGGGCCCTGTGTGTGTGTTGTTTGGGGAGCAGCTCTCGGGTGGCTGCCAGAGAGGGATGATTTATAAAGTGGAAACATCTTTAAAATGCGCTGGTGTCTGTGGGAGAGAACGGGGAGGAGAGGGTGAGAGGAGGAAGATGCAGACGAAGCTTGACGGAGAGATTGGCTGCCGCCGGCGCCTGGGGTGGGGCCGCAGCGGAGCCAGGGGAGCGGTGGGCAGGTGAAGGGAGGCTGCGGGGAGAGAAGCAGGGACGCTCAGGTTCAGAAGCCCCCTCACCCCCACTCCTCCCCCACCCGCTCCACCTCTTTCACATACTCACACTTGATTTTGATCCTCCGGGGACAGGTCGGGTGTGAAACTGTCCCTTGGCCTGGCTGTGCGCCCATCAGGGGTTTTCTGAGGACTGAGAGGGTGAAGCCTCAGGAGGCGGAGGTCTGGAGGCAGACAGCAGGGGCTTCAGTTCCAGCCCAGCTGCTTCCATCTGCGCAACCCCCAGGCGAGGGCCTCTGCCCCCCTCGTCCCCAGCTGTAAAGTAATAGGCCTTTCTTCGTACAGTTGTATGTAAAGCACTTAGCACACCTCCTGCACATGTAAGCATACAATAAATGCTCGCTGTAACATTAATATAACAAATGCTAATAATATTAATCATAGTTAAGAGAAACGTCTGGCATCCATTCAGCATTTCTCCCTCTACTTTGCACAGAACTCCGTTGAACAAGAAGCTGGTGGCCTGCCATGTAGGGGTGCTGTGTCCTTCCCCTCTGCTCCCTGGCCAGGCTTCCTTTCCTTTGTTTTGTTGTGCGTGGGGGCCTGGGCACTCGGGTGTCCCCTGAGTCAGGGAGGCGGCCAGGGCACCTGGGGTCTCTGTCAGGACGGGGAGCAGGTAGGTGTCAGGGCCTGAGTTTGCTGCATTTGGGGGGTGGGGAAGGAGGATCCTGCCAGAGGGCGCCACGTGGAGCAGTCACCGAGGACAGTGGGGGACCAGGTATCACAAGCACCCCCCCATCCCCCATCCGAGCTCTGTGCACTTGGGCCAGGCGCTGAACGTGCTGTGGCTCAGTGGTGTTAGGCGAGACAGAGGTGGCAACAGTGGCCCTACCTGCCGCCCTTTCCGCGGTACCGAGGCTCAAACCAGGGAGCTGTGGGCAGCGCGTGGTAAATTGCTGAGTGGGTTACAGGTGTGAAGAGGGGGACCTATTTCTTGCAACTGCTGTGGTGGACAGAAGGCAAGAAGGCAGAGAAAGCTCCAGAACTTCCATGTGTAGGCAGCAGAAATAACCTTGTTTCTAGAAAATAAATGGCCAGCACGCTCTTTGGGCATGCTTGGCCTCTGCCATTTTTAAACAAAAGGCATTTGTGATTTTCCTCAGTGGGGCTTCCTGCATCTGCTTGGGTCCTCCTCTCCCTCCCGCAACACACACACTCACACAAACAGCCCACCTTCCGAGGTTACTGGCTTCAGGCAGACTTTTGCGCCTGATCCTAGCGGAGGCTTGGAGATGGGTCTCAGGGAATGATGATACAATTTTAAAATGGTTGTGGTGATACTGGCCAATTGTGGATTCATCACAGTCCTTCATTTCTCTGGCAGAAAGGTTTCCTTGCCCCAGGCCTAGTCCTTAAGGAAGCCACTAGCTTCCCCCCTTTCCCCCATAGCTCTCTCGGCCCGCCCGGCCCCCACAGCTGCCCACTGCCTTCAGGGACCACTTTCACTGCTCTGATCCCTGTGCCTCCCTCGCTGCCCGCTCCCACCCGCAGCCTCAGGAGGCTGCCTGCTTGGCTTGAGCTGTGGCTCTGCAACCTCCTGCCCAGCGCCCCACCCTGCTCCCTTCTTCGTGTCTCTACCAGCTCCCTTCCTGGGACACTTCCATTTCTCAGTCGATGACCTGGACCTTCCTCCTAAACCTTAACTCACAGATTCCTAGACTGTGAGAGCTGAAGAGAAGCCCCACCCGAGAGAAGGGAAGGCACTTGGCCCTTGTAAATAGAAGCCGAGTTAGGCAGCTACCAGGTCCACACAAGCCACGCAGATGATGCTCCGCCCCCAGGACAGACCCCAACTTTCAGAAATGTCCCTGATTGCTTACTTCAGGGCCAGCGCAATGTTTTGAAGGGGGGTCATTGTTCTGCCCTAGAGACCCTGGCTGGTTAGGGGCATGATTGTTGCTGTCTGGTTGATGGAGGGCGGGGCCTGGGGAGGAGAGAGCAGACTGCTCTCAGGCCAGTTTGAGCCCTTGGGTCACAAGCCTCTTGCCTGAAACCCTGGAAGGTCCTGAAGGCCCAAGGAGTGAGTCTGAATTCTCAAATGATTTGATCTGATAAATAAAACGCCAGCTACCACGTGACCCATCGATCTCTGAATGCTCAGGAGCCCCTGGCGTCGAGCATGAGATGTGGGCAGACTGCTCCTCGGTCGGCCTCTGCCCCCTGAGGCCCCTGCGCCCAGGCCGTTTCGCTGCTGACTGCAGAGAGCAGCCCCTTCCCCTGCCTCCTTACATCCCTGCCAAGCTTGACGCATGTGAGAAACTGCATTTTTTCCCAAACACAGATAAAAGTGAGCTCCACAAAAATTTAAATATAAACCTCCCCAAAATGAAAATTTCCTAAGCGTCCAGCCGCTCTCCTCCTAGGTCATGGTTGTGCCACCAGATAAATCTCCACTATCAGCCTTCATAGCCTGTTGAGTTCAATGTTGCTTGTGTTAGTGACAGTGAATTTGCGTTTGAAAAATGAACTACCGATGAGAACTCCTGTTGAACCTGTATTGTTTGTTATTCTGAGGCAAGGATTTGGCCTGGCTTAATCCGGGGCTTCAAAGCCAATTGCCCTCGCTCTGTATACAGAGCGTCAGAGCTCTGTGGCGTGGGTGATAAGAGAAGTAAGGGTTGAAGACACTGGGAAAGTGGGTTGGGGAGAGAGTGCTTTGATCTCTTTTTAAAGTATTTTCTGAAAGCAAAAGTCTATCAGAAGGAAATGTCTTTTAAAAAAATCTAAGAGAAACAACTGACCTTCCAAAACAGCATCCATTCCACACACCCTCACTCCTGCCCCCCACCTCAGGGAAAATATTTCTTAAAAATGCTTTGAGGGAATTAGAAAACTGTGTGCGTCTGTGTGTGTGTGTAAAGTGGAAATAAATTACGTAGCTGTATTATTGCTCTCAGAAATCATTTGGCTACAAAAGATTTGGTCCCACGACGGCCCCCAAACTCAGCCTTGGTGGCTGGGCCCTGGCCTCTTCCCAACACATCCAGAATGCTTCCTGAAGACCCCCAGACACTAGGGATGGGGAGCCGGGTGGGGCTTTTCTGGGGACCCCAGACCCTTTGCCTACAGCCTGTTCCTTTCAGACTCTGGGCTGTGTGTGTGTGTGTATTATATATATATATATATATATATATATATATATATATATATATATATATATATATATAAAATTTTTAATGCCAATTTTATTGAAGTGGAACATTCCTGCAGAAAAGTGAACAATCCTTAATTGTACAGCTCTATAGACTTTCACAAAGCTGAACACACACCCAGATAAAGAAACAGAATGTTCCCAGTCCCCAGCACCCCCTGGTGTGCTCTCCCCACCCCCCACCCCCTTCCCCGGGCTCTCTCCAAACTTCTCACCCTTTCCATTTGGTTTTGCGCCTAAATTTAAAAGGAAGTACATATAGCTGATCCTGGGGTCCCCGTTGTCCCCTTCCCCACCCCCTCCGCCACCCAGGAAGTCGGAGCTGCGGTGGGTTTGGGGCTTGGGGGACCCCGCTAGGTGGGGAGAATCTGGTGGGCGCCTTAGGACCTCTATTCCCTGCGCCCCGTGCGGAGCTGGTGGGCAGCGAGTAGGTCAGGGCTTGAACTGGCGTCGCTCTGAGCCCAGCTGTAACTTTCGAGGTCCCGCTCAGCTGCGAGTTTGCATTTACGCATTTGTTGCCAAAATCAAAATGTCCCGAAACCGTTTCTCCGCGCCCCGTCCAAGGAAGCTTATCTTAGCAGTTCATTCTAAAACCATTTCCGAGTATGGAGTAGATAAAGGCTCCAGCCCCGCACTCTTTCAGAGCCTGTTTCTTGATCAGAGGAGGGACCCTGGGCTTTCATCTCTTCCCAGGCCGGCGCGGCGGGCGGCTTGTTTATTTCCCCCGGCGGTGCCGTTTCCGCGTGCGCTGGGAGCCCGGTCTGCCTGCGCGTCTGCGAGCCCAAGGCGCGGGCAGAAAACGCGGAGCGCGCGGAGCGGGGCCCGGGGCGCCGAGAGAAGGACCGCGGGACGCAAAGAGGGTGCGGAGGAGCCCGGGAAAGGATAGAGGATGGCAAGGGTTGGCAGGCGCGGGGGGCGGATGCAGAGGTGGCTGCGGTGGCGCGGGGCTGGCGTGGCCCCAGGCGTCTGGGAGGGGCAACCCGGGCCCTCACATCCAGCGCGCCGTGGGGCTGCGTGGGATACAAGCTGCTCAGGGTCATTACCTCCCTTCTCGTCCCGCCCTCCCCCCTCACTGAGGTGTTCCGTTCTGCCCCAGGTGTTGGTTTTCAGGCACATTTTATATCTTAATCACAGAAACAATATCCATCTCACTCCGCTAGTTCACCTGTTGGAGAAGAGAGGACTTTTGCAATGCGGGGGGAGCCTAGAGGAGGTCACAGCTCACCAGCCCAGCGTTGCCTCTGGGGCTCGAGGCACGCCCACCTGCTGGTGGCTCCCAGACGCAGCCTCTGGGCTCCGACTCCAGCCAGCTCTGCAGCCTGTGGGCTGGGTGGAGTGTGCGTCCCACCTCCACACTCAGCCTTTCCCCCACGCAGGGCAGGCAGCCTCTCATCCTTCTGGAGCCCCCTAGAGGGGAAATGATTGTGCCTAGGGTCCCCCCAGAGTGTGTTCTCCAAAGCCCAGAGAGAGAGGGTGTGGCAGAGCCGGGGCTGTTTCCACAAGGCAGTGGAGCTCGCTGGGTCCCGGAGGGGCCTTCCGAGGACTCCCGAACTCCCCACGCAGACCAGATACCCCCACCTCCCTCCGCGCTTCTGAGGGCTGCTGCTCCAAGAAGAGGGGACTTGGTGGGACTGAAGGCTAGGAGATGCCTTCCTCCCCTGTGCCAGGTCCCCCCGAACCTCCCTGAGGCTGTTAGCAGTCAGGAACCCGTCTACAGTCAGTCTCTAGGAGAAGCCAGATCCCAGGACAGCAGCCCTGCGCCTGGGAGGGCTGAGCGCAGGCTCTTTGCGGGCCTCTGAGAAGCACTCAGCGTCGCCCCGGGCTCCTGAGCGCCTGGGATGAACTGGAGGGAGCAGGACAGGACCCCTCACCCCCCAGCCTCGCTCGTGGAGGCTGTAGAGGTGGCAGTGAGCCATAGTCTTCCGCCCCCGTGGCCGGCGCTGGCCTGGGGGAAGCCGAGTCCGCCCCCGGCGGCCGCCTCCCGGGGTGATTCCGGAAGAAGCAGGCCAAGGTCAGGGCATGGGGGCCGGCACAGCCAGAGCTGCCCCATTTTGTGGCTCTGTCGGTGGCGGCTACAAAATGGTGGCCTGGAAAGGACAGGATTCTTGGCCCTCCCCCAGGGAGGGGGAGGCGAGGCAGCTGCCGCCTTCCCTCTCTGCAGCTCTAGGCCCACCAGGGGAGAGGCTGGGCCAGGAACGAGGGTGGTGCAGGCTCCAGCTGTGCCCCCAGGCCAGGCAGGGGGGCTGGCGAGCAGGAGGCAGGGTTGGGTTCCTGAGCCCCCTCACTTCCCCCATTCCTGGAGAGGGGGTGGGGTGGACATTTGAAAATGCTTTCAATTGACATCTGAGACAAATTCTTCCACACGGTTTATAAGTCCCTAGACTTGCAGCGAGCGCTGCCCTCCTCCCTCCAGGCACGCACACAGGCCCGCATGCGCGCTCCACCGCAGATCTTCAATCCCAGGCACTTGTGCACGCACAGGGTCACACACCTCCCGCATCCCGCCGCTGCAGTGTCCTGGCGGCCTTCCCTCCAGCCAGAGGGAGGGCGGCAGACGGGCTGGGCTGGGGCGAGGACCGGAGCCTCCCCTGGCTCAGGGTCCTGCCCTGGGCTTGCTGTGGGGTCTGCAGCTTGTGGAAATCTTGGTCCCTTCTGGAAGCCTTGCCCTGTCCAGGTAAGCTGGTACCCCTGTTGACAAAGTGGGGGACTGCCACCCCCTGTTTGAGGTGTCTAGGACAGCTTTTCTCCAGGGTCCCTGCCTCAGCTGAGCAGAGGGCCACCTGACGGCTGTCCTGCGGCCGACAGCTTGGGTGCTTCCCCAGCTCAGAGGGTTTGGTTCTGGAGCCCCTTCGTGTCTCTCTCTTCAGGGACAGTTTTGTCGGAGATCATCTGGGAAGGATGAGGGGGAGTGAGGACCAGGGTGAGAAAGTTCTGCTGCCCCTCTGGGGAAGTCCAGGGTCAGGGGTCTGGTGTCCAGGGGAGGTAGCTGTGCCCTGGCAGGTGTGTGTACATGCTGTTGTATGTGTGTAAGTGCTGAAGGGTCTGGGGAAGCTCTTCTCTAGAATGTTCTTTGAGCCTCAGTGTCCTGGGCAGTCTCGGCGTGGGCCACAGGGCTCGGCAAACTTGCTGTCTTTTGATGGATCCATTTTCATAGAGGCAGGTCATCCCACTTGCCTGTGGAGAGAGGAATGCAGTGGGTCAGTGGTAATAGGCATACAGGGATTCATTTAGTGCACATGGTACTCTATGAGATATGTGGTAATCTCCACAGTTCAGAGATAGGGAAACCAAGGCACAGAGAGAGCCAAGCGAGCTGCCCTTGGCTCCCCCAGCTGTCCGCAGCGGGGCGGGCCGTGAGCCATGGGGCAGCGGTCCCAGAACCCGTGCTGTGCTTGAGGGGGCTCCGGGTCTGACTTCCCCTGGGGGCTGGTTAGCATGGGCAGGCCCCATCCCGGGGTCCACAGGGACGAACATCTCTGCTAAGCACTCCAAAGGCTCCCAAAGATCTAGCAGCACCCTCCTGTTCTCCTGCAAGTTGCTTTAGGGGTTTCCACAGAGACATGACCCAGAGGAGACGTCTCATTGATTACGGAAGCGGCTGACGGGGACTTCCAGGTCTCCTGAGCTGGCTCCCTGCAGCGGCGTCCCAGAACTTCGGTGTCCAGGGCCTGGGGAAGGACAGAGGGAAGTTAAGCAGACACATTGGTGTCGAAATCCTCTCTCAGGATCCTGAGCAGGGTCTCTGAGCTTTAGCTACTCACAGCCACTAGGCCTAAATCTTAGGGGAAGCGGTCGGGGAGGGGGCTTTGGTTTGGGAAACCACTGAAACCCTCCTCACGGACACGCAGGCTGATGGCTGCAGGGGCCCAGAGAGAGAAGCTAGCGCAGCCTTCTCCTGGGGTGGGGGGAGGCTGAGGCCAGAGAGGGATGTGACGTACACAAGGTCACACAGCTGCGACCGGTGCCGAAACCCCTTGCGGTAAGGGCAGCACCCCTGAGGCCTCCGCCCCCCCACCGACGCTGAGCCATCTCTCCTGGAGCTCTGTCCACGCCCCCACCTCACCCTCTGGCTTTCCCCAGGAGGATGTTCCCCAGCTACAAGGTCAAAGTCACAGGCATGAACCCCAAGACCAAGTATATCCTGCTGATTGACATCGTCCCTGCGGATGACCACCGCTACAAGTTCTGTGACAACAAATGGTAAGAACCTGGGACCCTCATGTCACCTGCCTTCCCTCTACTGCTCTTGCCACTCACCACACCCATGGCCAGCTGATGTTGGCTCCGGGGACTCACCAGTGAGTCCAAGTGACACCCAGATCTGTGGCCTCAGGGGCCCGGCCTGCAGAGGCTGCGGGTTGGCACGTGTCCACAAGCGTGCTGCCGGCGGGGCCCGGCCCGGGGCTGAAGAGAGCTGTGGTGCCTGGTGGGTTTCTAGGGTCCGCACTGCCCTGACAGCTGCAGACAAACAGGGCTGGCGGCTATGCTGTGGAGTGACAGGAACACCAACCCCGGTGGAATCAGGCTCTGGCAGTGCTGTCTGGGGAGGGGGATGGGAGCTGTGTCTTTGCTGGGGTGGGGGGTCCAGCTGCCCGCTCTGTGGCGTCTCCTGTTTCCCCACTCACTGCCTCCTGGTCTGGCTGCAGTGGGCATCCGCCATCCAGAGTCAGGGGGCTGCCGCCCCAGGGGTGGGTGATGGGGCCCTTTGGCAAGGGGCTGGGAGAAACAGGCAGGTTGAGGGGAAAACCAAACTGGGGTCCATGTCCTGAGGCCATCTCCTCAGTGCCCTGCCTGTCCTCAGAGCCCAGGACAGCGCTCAGGGAGAGAGAGGGACTGAGTGAACCAGCAGCCCAGGGATGTGGGCTCCATGGTGGGCGGTTTGTGGGGCCAACAGAGGCGGGGCAGATTCAGTGGCCAGGTCCTGCCAAAGGCCATGCCTCTATTCCTTCTCTCTGGGCTGGATTAGCACTCGGGGCAGGCTCTGGATGAGGGGACAGCCACCAGTTAATTTCTCTGGGCAAGCATGGTTTGGGGGGCAAGAAATCTGAAAGTTGTCCAGGTCCCCTGAGAAATTCCCTCCAAATAACATAATTTATAACATTTTAAAATTGTCTGTATAACACACAAAGTGCTGCCTAAATCTCCCCATAGTACATTTGTGGCTCGCCCCATTTCTTCCAGTAAATAATGACCTTTCTCTGTAATGTCCTTTTTTCTTTCCTGTCTCTTTTGTCCCTCGCTTCTATGCCCCAAATCCTAAATTGTCAATGTGATAGGACCAGCATGGATTTTTTCCCCTTCGGGTCGGTGGGGATTTGCTCTCAGAGAAAGGACAGAGGCTCTGGGCTTCCCAGATCCCAGGGGGACCAATCACTGTGGCCCATTCACTCTGTTGGCAGGATGGTGGCAGGGAAGGCTGAGCCCGCCATGCCAGGCAGGCTCTATGTCCACCCGGATTCTCCTGCCACTGGGGCCCACTGGATGCGACAGCTGGTCTCCTTCCAGAAGCTGAAGCTGACAAACAACCACCTGGACCCCTTCGGCCACGTAAGAACGGGCCTTCAGGGCGCGTCCCGGGGCAGCGCTGCAGATGGATGGGTGCAGGGGGGTGGGGCGCAGGGGGGTGTCTGGAGAATCCACGCCGAGGATCCAGCTCCAGGCTCTGGCACTTGTCAGGCCAGTTTGTGGTGGGAGCACAGGGTCCCAGGCCCACAACTGTACATCCTGCCCTCAGCACTTACTGGCTGGGTAGCTCTGGGCGAGGTTCTCGGCCTTTCAGAGCCTCAGTTTCCTTGTCTAGAAAATGAAGATAGACAAAATGCACTTTTCACGGTTGCGAGAATGGAACAAGAGAATATGCATGAAGCACCTTGTACATGGGAGGCTCTAAGTAAATGACAACATGACAATAATGACAGCCATGATGGGTCAAATCTCTCAGCTTTGGTTTCCCCAAATTTGGCCTTGCCGGAGCATGAGACAAGTAAACTTTCTTGAGAGAGTCGTGGTGAGGCTGAAGCCTCTCTCTGGCGTGTCTGCCTGCTCGGCCTGGCAGCCACCCGCCCTCTGCGAGGGAAAGCCTTGCTCTGGCCCCTGGTCAGCTCCTTCCTGGCCTTGCTGGGGCCTGGCTCTCGCCCGAGAGATCCCGAAGCCCCATGGATGCTGCTGCTGACGCCCCATCCAGGCTGCTGAAGCTTATTCTTTCGCCATCTGGCCCTGGCAGGCCCACAAAAAGCTTTTTATGTGGAAAGTTTTAGCTCAAGTATGTGGGGCCAGCTGAAGCCTGAGGACCTGGTATTATCTGCCCGGGCAGAGCCATACCCCTCTCTGCTACCCTGGGTTCCCTGGAAGTGTGGGGTGGGGGTGGGGGCGCCGTTGCACTAGAGGCTCCTACACGCAGTTCCCAGTTCCCTGGGCTGCGCACTTATCGTTCAGGGCGTGCGCGGTCTGGGGGAAGCTGGGTGCGGGTGTGCAGGTGAGTATGTGCTTCTTTTATGCCTCAGGTCTATTTTTGGGGATCTGCGTACAAATCTGAATTCTGTGAATCACAGTTCCCCGTGGAAAATGCCACCAGTACTGCATTTCTGACGGGCTTGTATGTAACCACCGAGCAGCTCTTAGTCTTTTCTCGAGTCTGTTCAGTTAGCTTCTGAGTCAGTGACTTATAAATGAGCCACTAGGGGAATGCTTAATTAACATAATTAACCCGACTACTCTTCTGTTTTGCAAGCAGCATGGGTTTTTCCCAGGCAGGGCTGACAGGCGCCGCTGGGAGTGTGGCAGAGACATGCCTGTGGGCACAGTGGCACCTGCTCGGGCAACCCCAACCTGTCGTGGGGGCAGAGGCGAGCCACCAGTCCAGTGGGGAGGGTCAGCCAAGCCTCCGCCTCCTGAGCACAGGGCCCTGTAACTGAGGGCAGAGATGCCTTCTAGGTCTTCCTGGGGACCGTCCTGGCTGAGACTCTGGGCCCAGCCGGCTCCTCTCAGACCCCTGCTTGGCCAGCTGTGCTGGAGGCAGGGAGCCTAGCTGACAGGCACACCCCTGCCCGCAACTGCACCCACATGCAGACCGCATGGGCGGCCCCCTCGGTGAGCACAGAGTGTGGCAGGAGCTGAACCTTTGGGTGAATGGCCAGAGGACCCAGGGATCAAAGCTCTGGTGAGAATTTTGGATGCACAGCTTACCTTGATGGTCCCCAGTTAAAGGGGTGCTGCAGAGGACTCGTCCACCTCCCCAACCATCTGCAGAAAGTGGCAGAGGAGGGATCATCAGGTGGCTGAGAAGTGGGCTTTTTAGGAGTGGGAGGGAGGCCTGGCCTTGGGAGCCCAGCAGTAGGTTTTCCCAGCCTGGCCTGCCTCCTTGGTGGCTCTCTTGGGGTCCCTGGGGGTTTGCACTAAGCCTGCATGTAGTCTCAGGCCTGGGCCAGTGGGGTGGCCTGATGGGCTCTTGATGGCGGGGGTGCCCCTGGCTACAGCTGCCATGCCTGCCTGGGGCTCACCTGTCCTATAGGGATAGTCTGCATGCTAACTCGGCTCTCTCTGCAGAGGGTTGGGATGCAGGGTACCCTCCTTCCCTATTATCCCCACATTTTACCAGCACGTGCAGCTTATTGGTTATAACGCTCCCTGTTGGGGGCAGGGCTCAGGGAGGTTTCAGGTCCAGCACTCTCTCGCATCCCCATGTATGCTTCTGTGCCCAGGGCTTTGCTGTTGGGAGCCCCATGGAGAGGGAGCCGCATCCTCAGGGGCTGTGAGGATGGACTGACTTCCTAGACATAGCAGGGCACAGGGGTCCATTTGGACACTGGCTCCTGGGCCTGTGCCCACGGGAGTGGCGAGTGCTCCAGGTCCCCCTTCCCGGCTTCTCAGTGCAGGTGCCTGGGAAAACACCATCTCACACTGTACATTGGCCCCTAACAAGCCCTTCCTTCTGCACAGCTCACCTCCAAATTCTCCCTTTTCCCCAGGAGCTTCCAAACCTCCAGTAACTCTGTCCAGCCAGATAGGCTTTGGGCTTTTCTCACAGCATCTCAGGGGCTCGATGGGGCAGGTGCCTCGCATGGGCAGCCCTCTGCCAGGAGAAGGGTCTGGGGTCCAGGTGAGGGCTGGGGCCCGGGCCACCTCTTCTCCACGGCAGGACAGGCTAAGGGTTCAGGGAACCCACGTGGCCACATGTTCTGAAAAGACAGGACTCAGTTCTGACTAGAAAATACCTGTGGGTTTTCGCTGTGAGTGTGGGAAGACTTCTGTTCTTCAGCGGTACATTGCGGGTCTGACCGCTGGGTTCTGGGAGCAAAGCCCATGGCCAAGGGCGGGCGGACAGCAGGGGCAGAAAGGATCGACGGGCTGGGCCAAGACCGAGGTGCCTCCTACAGCCCCAGTTCAGCCCCACCGTCTGCGGCCCTGCTGGCTGCGGTTGTGTGTTCCTGAGCCGGGGCAGGGCCGGGGGGGGGGGCGGTGCAGGGCGTGTGGCGGGGGGAAAGGGGCGAGAGGCGCTGGACGCAGAGAAGGGCCTGCAGGTTACGGCAGGGCGTGGAGATGGCTGCGTGGAGGTCTCCCTTTTCTTGTCTCAAGACTCCCAGACTCCTGAGGAGGGTCAGTTTGTGATTTCTGATATAAATTTGCTTTTTGAGTCTGTTCCAGAGGCTGAGTCCTTCATGGGCTAGGGGTGTGGGCTCCAGCTGCTTGGCCACAAAGTAAAATGCGCACAGTCCCCTCCTTGTGCCGCTTCCTCCTCTTCGCCTCTGTTAGTTACTCCGGAGGAGCTTGGGACCCAGGATCAATGCCACGTCCTCGGGGAGACAGTTCAGGGTCCCCGTTACAGGCTCTCAGAGCTTCATGTACTTTTCTGTCCTCGTACTTACCACAGCTGCTATTTTATACTTAGTTGTCAAGTTTGTTTTAGAATAGGAAATACATTCACATGGTTTAAAAATAAACCAATGAATAAATAAAAATGCCTACAATGAGATGTTTTCCCCCACGGGTTCCACACCCACTTTATTTCTTCCAATCCCAGCCACAGGTGACCAATGTCACTAATTCTTCATAAAGTGTTTCTTTTTGCATATACAAGCAGAACATAGAATCTCAAGTCCCTTTTTGTAGACACAATGGCCGCATACTACAAACGCTTTTTTGGACCTTGCTTTGTCAGCCTAATATATCATGGAGATCGGTCCATTCACGTAGCAAGTCCTCGCTCCTTTTTCCACAGCTGCGAAGAATTTCATCGCGTGTTTGTTCCATAAACTGCACAGCCAGCTTGAAGGACTTTGATGTTTTCCTATACTTTTTGCTCTTTTGATTAAGCTTTTGATAGGGCATTGGATACCTGTGCCAAGAATATCTGTGCCGCACCGGCGCCGTGCAGAGGGTGTTTGGATTAGTCATTTGTAGGTCTGCCCTCCACTGGGGCCACCCTGGTGTCCCACCCGCCGTCCCGGAGCCGCCCCAGCACGGCGGGAGAGGCATGCTTTGGATTTCTGCCAGCCTGATGGGTGAAATGTAGGTATCAGTATAGTTTTAATTGGTATTTTTTTATTATGAGCGAAGTGAAGCATTTTTTTAATAGGTATTTCCTCTTCTGTGAACTGCTGTCCTTATCCTCTGCTCATTTTTCTCTTAAATTTTTTATCCTTTATCAATTCTAGGAGCTTTTATAAATTAGGAAGATTTAGCTCCTATCCATGGTATGAGCTGCACATATGTTCTCCCAGTTTGTCATTTGTCCTTGGACCTTGCCTATCATGGTATTCCTGCGGAGAAGTTTTTGTTGAATGCATCCGTCCTTTCCTTACAGATTCTGCATTTTGAGTAATTGAAAGCCCTTATCCATGCCTTATTTTTAAGGGAATTTTATTCTGCTTTCTTTTAGTGTTTTATGGATTTATTTTTACATTTAAACCATTGATACTTTTGGAATTTATTCTGGCATCATTTGATATGAGGTGTGAATCCAACTTTTTTATTGTTTTCTGGAGAGCTATCCAGTTGTCCCAACACCAATAATTGACCAGTGCACTTTCCTTCCCGGTTCAGGAGGCCGTATTTCAGGAGACTAAATCCCCAATTGAGTCTGTGTCTGTTCACGTGCCAGTGCCTTAGCTGCTGAGGCTTCACGGCAGGGTTTAGTGCCTGGCAGGCCTGACTGTTCTCCCCGTTGCTCTTCTTTTTCAGTTTTCTGGGCCAGACGTGTATTTTTTTTTTTTTTCATGTGAACTTTAGAATAAGCTTGCAGTGTCGAGAATGAAGCTTATTTTAATTTAATTAATTAATTTACTTTAATTAAACTTACTGGCCTAACGCCGGTGAATAACACACATGAGTTTCAGGTGTGTGACTCCCCAATACCGCAGCCGTCTACTCCGCTGTGTGCTCGCCACCCAAGTCCAGTTTCCTTCTGGCACCGTATACTTGACCCCCTGTGGCCCCCTTCGCCCTCGCCCTTCCCCTGTCATTTTATTAGGGTTGCTACAAATGATAAATTCACTTACGGAGATTGCGAGAATGCCTTTCTCTTTGCTGAAGCCTGCTTTTTGTCCTACAAAGGTGTATTCAGCTTTTCTTCCTAAGGTCTATACCTTTCTTGTTCGGTATTTCCTCTTGTTATGATTGTAAATGCAGACTTTCTTCCACTACATCCTCTCACCATTTATTTTTGCTTGATTTGTGCACATTCCCACTAGATAGGAAACCATGAGGATTTTATTTTATTTATTTATTTAAATTAAATTCATCGGGCTAACACTGGTGAATAACACTGTATGAGTTTTAGGTGTAATCGCCATGATGTCCTAGTGCCTGGCCCTGTGTCTGGCAAAAAGTGGGTACTGGTCCACAGTGAGCGAGCAGACCCCCAGAACTGGGTCGTATTTAGACAGGGAGGGCACTTCCTCTACCAGGGGCTGGTGTCCCCTCAAAGCTTATCTTGTTACCTAGCCAGTGGGGACCCAGTTATAGATCTCCCTCTTTTCCTCTTTTCCTCCCCGATTTGCTGAGCCCTGACACTGTGCCAAGCCCTTGCTGGGGGCTTTGTGAGTACAGATGCCCCACACAACTCCACACTAGGCCCCGCACTCACCAGCCACGTACCGGAAGGAGCTCAGGCTCAGAAATTAGTGCCAGTCCTGGCCCAGCCTCCCACTGATGGTCTGAGGTCAGCAAATGCCTTCACCTCCGAGCCTCTGTCCCTTGTCTGGTACAAAGAGGCCAATAATAACGCCTGCTTTAGAGGGATGTGGTAAAGATGTGTGTACAATACTCAGCACAGGGCCTGGCACGCAGGATGTGTTCAGTGAACACTGGACATGCCCTGCGTGAAGGCAGGGACATTTCTGGGCCCCTGGATTGCTGCCCTGGAAGTGATTCCCAACCTCGGAGCTGACCCTTGAACAATACTGTTTGAACTGCGTGGGTCAATTGAAAAAAACAAAATATGTGTATAAGTGGATCTGCGCAGTTCATACCGTGTTGCTCAAACGTCAACTGCAATTACAGAGCTTGTTGTTGGGAGCAGCGTGTACTTTCTCAGAGGCCATCTGGAATTTTCTCAGGATACTGTCTCCAGCCAGCTGTGTGTCCTTGGGCAAGTCACATTCCCACCACAGGCCTCCTGCTCCTCATTTGTAAAATTAGGAGGTTGGACTATAATGATCTCCGAGGTCTGCCTCTCCGTGCCCTAATGTTCTGTGTTTCTAACGTAGATAAATCTGAGCCTCGCTGGCCAACCATGCTTTGGTGATCTCCTGAGGAGGGGGATGTTTGGAGCTATCGCAACTGTTAAAATGTAACAGCCTTCTGAATTGTAGCCAGAACATAATGAATCCCATTTCTATAGAACAACGATGATGACGAGGCGAGTCATGTAGCAGGGTCTGTTGACGTGGCCGGTCCATTTGGCCCAATAGCCTCTGCAACAAATATAAATGTGAGACTCTGGCAAAGTAGTTTAACGTGACGCCAGAGGACTTCAGAGGAAAGCCAGGTGCGTGAGTCACTGAGTTGGTTTCCCATCTCTCGGGCTGATGGGACTAAGGCTCTGATTTGTGTTGGTTTCATGGGTGGGACGTCCTTCCAGACACCTGTCTGGGTTCCAGACTGTCATAGTCAGGAGAGGTATTTGGGACCACTTAGTCGAAGGCCTCACTTTACAGACGGGGACCCCAATGACTGGAGGGGAAGAGCTTTGCTGAAGCCTTGTAGCGGGTGAGCAGAGATCCATAGACGCTTCTAGGCTCTTCTTCACTTCTCTGCAGCTGGGACTGTACCCCTTGCAGTGGCTCCTACCTGCCCCTGCAGGTCTGGCACTTCCCTACTTCCCAGGTTTCCTGCCAGCCTGTCTGGTTTCCTTCCCTAGAAGGTATGTTTGACAATCAAGGACTTTGTCTGATGGGCTAAGGCGTTTGGCCTTTATCCCAAGGGGCAAGAGGAGACCATCAAAGGTAGCATGATGAATGGAAGACATTTACTGAGCCCTAAATGCTGGCAGGAGTTGTGGTGGTTGGGGGGACAAGGGAGGCAAGAGCCTGAAACTCAAAGGGCCCTGCCCTCAAGCGCTGCGCGGTCTTCCTGGATGAACCGTAAGGTTCTAAGCAGGGGAGTGTCCTGACCAGATATGTCCCAGGGGAAACAGAGAGGAAGAAGATGGAGACAGGAAGCAGATGAAGACAGGAAGGAGGCTTCCCAAAACCCGGGGAGAGACCTGGCACCTGAACTGGGGCTGCGCGGCGGCACTGGGGAGGCTTTTGTGTTATGGAGGGAGTCACAGGACGTGGTCACTCCTGACTGGACCTGGGTGTGGGTGACCGTGAGGGAAGGAGTTGACAATGTCCAGGGCTCTGGCTGGGCTATTGCAGGCTGTCACTGTCCGGGTGGCAGAGGAGCAGGGTGGGTGCTGCCATTGGTCCTAAGGTGTCCCTAAGGGATGGCATAGCCTGTGGTGTCTCTCCAGGTTCTCAGCCCATGGTCTGTGCTCCCCCTGGGAGCCCCTCCTGGGAGAGCCGGGGTGACCAGGGACTAGTCCCGTGTGCTAGTCTCCCAGAAAGATTGTCTGTACACACGTTTCATCACTATTTTTGACATGAAAAATGCCTTAGAGCTTATCTTACCTCTAGGGACAAAGAGGTGAGAGAGGACTGGGTAGAGAGTTGGTGGCCATGGCCCAGGTCTCGCCATTCCTCTATCCCTGCCGTGCACTCACTAGTTCCTGTTTTGGGGAAAAGGGGCCTGGAGTTACCAAAGGAATGAAAGATATGGCCCCTTTTCTTGAGGAGTTTCTAGTTTAATTGAAAGGACAAGAAGAAATAGGAAGTCATTAGGAAGCTGCACCATGGCCAAGAGGACCATACACCAGATGTTTCAGAACTGGGAGTTCGGAGCAGGCCCTGGTAATCTGGGAAGGCTCCCTGGAGGAGCCGAGGGAGGGTGGGAAAGGAAGGCAAAACAGCAGAGGGAACTGCACGTGCAGAGATGCCGAGGCAGGAATCTGGGGATTCCTGGGCACATCTAGACCTCCTCCTGGGTATCCAGTTGCTGGGTCTTCTGGGAACTTAGGTCCTTTGTTAGCTCCTGCAGCCTCGGGGACCAGTGCAAGGTGAGAGGGTAACCTAAAGGGGCCGGGAGGTATTTCCCAAGACCCAGCTCCTCTCCCCAGGGCTCCTTTCCCAGCCTCCTGGAGAGGGACACCCATTGAGCACCCCGACCCCAGAGGACTTGTGTCCCTTGGTCTCACTCTGAGTTTCTCACCTGGCAGCCCCCTGTTGAGCAGTGACTCTCCAGCTGCAGGACCTGGTTTGGGATGCTCTGTACGTGCCCCAAGAAGGTCCAGAGGTTTGTCACGGAGGGGTAAGGGGTAGTAGCCAGTGCAGAAGGCAGAAAAGCTCGCTCCTCCTGGCCGGGGCTACTCAGCCAAGCCAAGGGACCCAGGAAGGCCCGTGCCCAGAGCGGAGCGGCCGGCCCCCGCCCCACTCAGCCGAAACTGCGCTCTGGGCCGTCCCCGGCCCCAGCATGTGATGAGGGCAGAGGCTTCCCGGACGAAAGCTTTGGTGCAGGCTTTCCGTGGCAGAGCCTGGCTTGGGCCCTTCTCTCGGCACTCTGGTCACTCAGAGGTTAAATCTTTCACCAAGTTTCTCCAGTACCAGGCCTGGTTCCTGGGAACCTGGAAGGGCGGGAGCCAGCCGGGCCAGCTCAGCCCAGCCAGGACAGGAGCCAAAGGGTTAACAAAAGCGGCAGTGCTGATAAAATGCCCCAAATTCCTGGTCCTGCCTCCAATGGGGAGTGCGTCTGGCAAATGTCAACGATAAAAAATACATTTTAATGGCACCTGATGCAGCCGCTACCGTGGGGCGCAGCGGAATGAGGCAGGTTTGGAGCAGCCACTACTGTGTGTTGCTCCCGGGGCCTCCGAGCCACGCCTCCTGGGCTCCTCCACAAGCCTCAGCAATCAGGGTGACCTGCCTCCCCAGCCCGCCCCCCCCATCCTCAAGGGCCCAGGGGTGCCTGGGGCCCTGGCCTTCTCTCTCATTACATCAGGAGCTTTGCTTGGCTCCTGCCTTGGTACCTTGAGCTCCAGCCCTGGACGGAGCTTCCCTCCTAGGCAGGGCTCACCAGGTCTCGGGCAGGGTGCATCTGAGCCTCCCCGCTGCCCTCAGCAGGCCTCTGTGAATGCCGAGGACTAATGAACAAAGGAGTGACTAGAAGGCAAAGGTCAGAGTGCGCCATTTTCCTCAGCTCCCTTGCCTCCCCAACTCCACAGGCCCCTGGCCTGGGAGGCTGCTTTCCTTGTTAACAAGTGTGAGGAGGGGCTGAGCCCCTACCGTGGGCATTTCCGGGGAAGACGGGTCACATGTGAGCAGTAGGGAGGGGGGAAAGCAGGGAAGAGGCAGAAAAGCAGAAGAAGCAAGGGGAAGAGTCCGCCGGAGGGGAGAACCTGAGGGAGGTAAGCTATGTATTGGGATCCCATTTTACAAACACGAAAGCTGGGGCTCAGAGACGTCCAGCGACTTGTCTGAGGTCAGGCAGCAAGTCGGCGCACCCTGGACTTTTTTACCTGTAACTCAGAGTTCCACCTACTACACGGTGCTGAGTTCACTGGGGGCTTTAAACGGTCAAGTTCTCCATTGTCCCAGTGAAACAGTCTGTCACCTCAGGGAGGTCCTGGGAGCAGGTGTCCGGGCCGGAGCAGAGGCTAAGCAGGGCCCTGGGGGCTGAGTTTGGGGCCCAGGGGCCTGGTTCTTCATGTGGGAACTTGAGGACCTTTCTGGGTGCAAGCCCTGCAGCCTGGCCCTGGAGCCTGGGCTTTTAACGACCAGAGCCAGCCCAGGGCCAGCTGAAAGGGGCAAAGGGCCAGAGGGTGCGGGCCTGGAGCGCAGAACAAGACCCTTCTCTTCCAGATCATCCTCAACTCCATGCATAAGTACCAGCCGCGGCTGCACATCGTGAAGGCTGATGAGAACAATGCTTTTGGCTCCAAAAACACAGCCTTCTGCACCCACGTGTTCCCAGAGACTTCCTTCATCTCTGTGACCTCCTACCAGAATCACAAGGTACAGCTGCACTCCCGCCCCCACCCCGCCCCCCTAGACACCACGTGGCATTTCTGCTGACAAGACACAGGGGCAGGAATGCCAGCTTTGGAGGCAGCGAGGCCGAGGCAGACCCAGTGTAGGGACTTCAGAAACCTGCCACGTCCCTCAGAGCAGTGAGGCATCAGTTGCATAATGAGCGGGAAGGGAGCCCAGACTCCTGAATCTCTGATGCAGAGTAATTATGTCTCTCTTTGGGGAACTGGATGAAGTTGGCAACGGTGAAAACCAGGGCGTGGAGCTTTCCCCCTTGGCTTGAGTGTTAGGATCCGTCGTCTCCAATCTGTCTCCCTGGTGGGATTCAAGGCCCCAATCCTGGGCCTGCAGAGAGGGGCAGGGAGTGGGGAGAGCGGCCCCGTGCCCGGGAGCCGGGAGACCGAACCACCTGCAGACCCTTCCCAAGCTGCGGCCCGAAGGGCCCGGGGTGCCCTGTCAGCTCACCCTCCCCCGCCCAACTCTCCGTGGCCTCTGCCTTTGTACCTCACTATCCTTTTCACATCGTGGACACGGGGACCGGTGAAGTGGACAGGGGTCACTGCAGAAGGACCACAGGCTGTGCTGGATTTTAGGCAGAGAGCGACAGAGTGAGATTTGCATTCAGAACAGTCCCTCAGAACCTGCTGCGGCAGTTGCACTGGGCAGGGGTGGCAATGGGCAGGAAGCTGCTACAGGCTCCCAGGAGCAAATGCCGAGGCGCAGAAGCCAGGAGCACGGGGAGAGCAGGAGGCAGACGCGGAGGGTCTGCAGCAAGGAGAGCGGGTAGGAGCCAGTGGCGCGACACCGGTGGTGAGGCCGAGGAGGACCCAGCGCGACCCCTGGCCGGCCCAGGGCCCGGGCGTGGACTTCCCCGGCCCATGCCCTGAGTTCGGAGCGTGCCTGGGGCAGGGGAGGAGGGCCAGCCCGCCCAGCCCTCCACCCCAGCACCCCTAGCGTGCGTCCTCTCCTGACAGATCACACAGCTGAAAATTGAGAACAACCCTTTTGCCAAGGGATTCCGGGGCAGTGATGACAGCGACCTGCGTGTGGCCCGGCTGCAGAGGTGGGGCTTCCGGGCCCGGGGCGGGATGGGTGGGCAGACTGGGCTCGGGCACCTGGAGTCCGTAACCTTAAAAGTACCTTCACCCTTTCCTTTTGTCCCCCGTCTGTCCATCCCGCTGCTCCAGCAAAGAGTATCCCGTGATCTCCAAAAGCATCATGAGGCAGAGGCTCGTCTCCACTCAGCTCTCGGCCAAGCCCGACGTCAGCCCCCTGCACGGCCCCCACCAGGCGCTCCAGCACTACCAGTACGAGAACGGCGCTCACATGCAGTTCGCTGCGGCCGAGCCACAGGACCTTCCCCTCAACACCTTCCCAGCCCAGAGGGACTCAAGCCTCTTCTACCACTGCCTGAAGAGACGAGGTACTCTCTCCTGGTCTAGCAGCCCTAGAGGGTCAGAGGAGGGGTGCGGCTCTCCTCACAAATGCTCCCTTCGGCACACGGGAGCGTGCTCGATCACACACCTGTGCGCACACACAGCTGGTTACTTGTGTGGCCCGGGAGAGCAATCGTGAAGGATTGGGAGCACCGCCAGGCTCAGGGCGGGGGTGTTGGGTCTTGCTTTTAATGCAGCCTTCGGAATCCTCACAGGCAGCCCGTGGCCTTGGTGTCCCCAGATACTGTGTTCCTCCCCAGTTCCAGCTGTAGCTTTTCAGCCAGTCCTTTGAGACTCTCCCCAGGTGGGCAGACAACACAAAACCAGCTGGGCTCTGCCTCTGAGCATGGAGGAGGCTGAGATACCACAGCCCGGTGTCGTTCATCCAAGCAACCTCAGTCCTGAAAGAGGGATAAGCTAGAGACATGGCTACAGCTTCTCCCCGCCGTCACATCAGGGTCTGCAAAGGCCTCGAGAGTGGGAAGGAGCTGTTGTGGCTGTGGGCTGAGGGCCGGGAGGACAGGCGACAGCGCTCTGTGCTGGCTGCTGTGGAGGGAGAGGAGCCCTGGGCCGGAACCAGGACACCTGTGCTCTGGCGCCAGGCCTTGATTTCTTCATCCGTAGAGTAGGGGTGTTATGATGCTGGGACACTTCACAGGGCCTGAAGTTCTGCTGGGAATGAGTTTGGGGACTTTGCTTACCATCCAGAGGGTTCTCTCAGTTCCATTCCTAAGGACCAGCCAGGCAGAGCCTTGAGCATCCCTTGTACCGACTCCATTAGAACTAATGATCTAAACTGCAGGTGGCAAACTGTGGCCCATGGATAAATTTGTTTTGGCCTGTGAGCTATACAAAATGGCTTTTATGTTTTTAACTAGTTGGAAAAAAATCAAAATACTATTTCATGATATGTGAACATTATATGGAATTCAAATTTTAGTATTCATAAAAAAGACATTGAAACACAGCCATACATATTTATTTACCTATTGTCTGTGGCTGCTTTCATGTGACGACAGCAGAGCTGAGTAGAGTCAGCCCTCACTTAACGTCATCGATAGCTTCTGCAACTTCAAGCCTCACTAACGAAACCAGTGTTACCATAGGCTAATTGATGTAAACAAGAGTTACGTTCCTACAGCATATTTCTGCTCACAAAAACATCACCAGCCTTCTAAATAAAGACCCACAAACACTTCAATATTAAACATTGAAATAAATCGAATTATGTATATGTTTAAGAAAGATTAACTTACAAAGGTAAGATAGTGATTTTCCAACCCACTGCTTCCAGCTCAGGGTGGTGGGTGGTTAGAACCTATCCCGGCAGCTCAGGGTGCAAGGCGGACCCACCCTGGACAGGACGCCCTTCCGTCGCAGGGCGCGCCCATACCCCCTGACACTCACTCAGACTGGGACAACGCAGACACGCCGTTCCCCTCATGTACGCATCTTGGGATGCGGGAGGAACCAGAGTGCCAGAGAAAACCCACGCAGACCTGGGGAGAACGTGCAAACTCCACACAGACATTGCCCTGGCCCAGAATTGTTTTATTTTCCCCTCATCAACATTATAATGAAATGACTTGAACGAAACAACTTTATTCAAAGACCTACTGAAGCTGTGACAGATTCCATATGGCCCACAAAGCCTAAAATATTTACTATCTGGCCCTTTACAGAAAAAGCTTGCTCACTCCTGACCTAGAGTGACTGGGCCACTTTCCAAGTTCAAGAGCTTAGTGTTCTTGAGAGAAAGGAGGAATTTGGCGAGAAGATGGAGAGGAGGGATGAGAAAGAGAGTGGGGTGAGAGAGGGAGGTCCTCTGAGTGCAAGTTCCTCCTCAAGGAAGATGCCTCCAAATGAGGCAGAGGTGAGCGCAGGCCTTCGGACTTGGCCCAGTCCCGCAGGCCGCCCGGCACTGTGTGCACACAGAGCTCCCAGAAGGAATCCCTAGAGAAAACAGAAGGGGGTAAGCCAAGGTAAGCCGCTGGACAAGTGCACTCAAGTTGGTTGAGTGAGCTGCTGCCCAAGTCCCAGGGCCTCTGACATCCCTGGCTCCCAGGGCGGGACATGCCACTCCAGGTAGTCTAGCCCTTATGGGTGAGGACACGGAAAGACACACCTACACGGTTTGGGGCGACGGATGTTCTCTTTCCCCAAACAAACTATTAGCTTAGGTTCAAAAGCACAAGTCACCTTTTACTTATTATCAGCTCTATTTCTTAATTTTGTAAACAGTGTTATATTGGAATCTGTGTTTAATAATTTGATGGGACCTCTATGAACATGTGTAGGGTTTACTTCTTCTGAAAGCAACAGGAACGTGCCCACATGTAGCTTTGGCTTGCTAAGGCCTTCCTGAGAGCGGAGGCTGGAAGCAGAAACATTGTGGCTTTAATTTTCTGGCTAATTCAGACAGATGTGGCCTCTGGGCTTGGTTTGGTCTGGAAATTGTCTCTACTTTCCTTGGCCAGCGTGGGCCTAGTCTAAGAATGCCAACACACATTAAGGCCTCTTCCCATCCCCAAGAGTCAAGGCAAAGGATCAAAGCTGTGTTCCTCCTGGCTAAACACATCACTCAGTGTCCAATGATGTAGTGTCCCCCGTGGCCCGTGAGCAAGGTCCATAACCTTACCATTTCTTGGCTGCTGCCACCTTATAGAAGCTGCAGCTGATTAAGGTGGTTTTGGGAGTGCCATGGCAACACGGGGCCAGGGCGGGCCCTCAATGGCGAAGGTGGGCTGTCCTGGCTCCAGCCGCGGTGTGCTGATCCCAGGTCTGGCGGGAAAGGCTCTTCCTGAAGGTGTCTTTGTCTTCCAGCAGACAGTGCCCGCCACCTGGACTTACCCTGCAAGCGCTCCTATCTGGAAGCTCCCTCTGCAGTAGGGGAGGATCATTATTTCCGTTCTCCCCCTCCCTACGACCAACAGATGCTGAGCCCCTCCTACTGCAGCGAGGTGACCCCGAGAGAAGCCTGTATGTACTCGGGTTCGGGGCCTGAGATTGCTGGGGTGTCTGGGGTGGACGACTTGCCCCCACCCCCCCTGAGCTGTAACATGTGGACGTCGGTCTCACCGTACACGAGCTACAGCGTGCAGACCATGGAGGCTGTGCCTTACCAGTCCTTCCCCACGCACTTCACCGCCACCACTATGATGCCCCGGCTGCCTGCTCTCTCTGCTCAGAGCTCTCAGCCGCCAGGAAACACCCACTTCAGTGTCTACAATCAGCTCTCACAGTCTCAGGTCCGAGAGCGGGGGCCCGCCGCACCCTTCCCCAGGGAGCGAGGCCTCCCCGCGGTGTGTGAGAGGAAGCCGCCCTCTCCACACCTGAATGCTGCCAGCGAGTTTCTCTACTCGCAGAGCTTCTCCTTATCCCGGGAGGCGTCCCTACAGTATCATTCAGGAATGGGGACTGTGGAGAACTGGACTGACGGATGACTCCCGCGTCCCCCCCGACAGCCCCAGGACCATGTTAATCCAGTGTTAGCCTCTGTGGGTGGCCTGCACTACCAAGAACCACAGGAAGGTATTTTAAGGGGTGGGGTGTGTGCATGTCTGCGCGCGCGCATGTATTGGGAGAGCCTCTATCAGGGCCTCTGTCTTCGGACATACAACCGAGGCCATGACAAGGCAAAAAACACAATGGTCTAACAAGTGATTCTGGCTGCAAGACCTGGGTCCATTGTTATCTGACATCTCTTGAACATGCCCATGGGTGGGATGGCAGTGGGGAGTTTGCGTGAGTTATTTAGAGATTTTTATAATATAATATTGATTTACTCAGGGCCAGGTGGTGAGGTCTCTCCCATGGACGGTTGCGGGAAGACTCTCACCGCTGGGGGGGAGGGCTCTGTGCACATCACAGAGGTCCTGGCCTTCTGCTTTGCGAGGGGAACCGAGAACCCTTTTGGGAGCAGAGGCCCACTCCTGTGGCTTCTGGAGATTCCGGGAGACCGCCTGAGAGGTGGGCTCAGCAAAGCCGCAGAGCATACCCTGAGCGTGCGGCTGGCTGCTCAGTCAGCGGCCTGGAAGCCCATCCCCAGAGCTCTGAGGGCTGTGGACTGATTTTCAGAGATGGTCAGGTGCTAAGTGCCACCTGACAGGTATTTAAAAAAATTTTTTTTCCTTCAAGAGGAGGGAAAACGAAACCAGTGGCATCTCTGTCATCATTCAGGTTTTCTTATAAAAAGCCCGCCCGCCTCGGTCCCTGACGTGCAGGCTCTCACTCCCTCTGTTGCGCAAGACTCGGCCGCTCAGGCGCCACCTGCGTCCTAGGGCTGGCAACACAGGAGAGGGCTGCCTGGGGGCTGCGGCCGGGCATCTCCAGAGCCTGTTCTGCTCCCAGGAAAATCCTTGCCTCTGCAGCAGGGAGGCCCGAGAGAAATAAAAATGGGAACTGAGGAAACGTTCATTTCTTCCAGTAAAATCAGCCAGCGCGCCAGAGGAGCAGGGCTAATTCTTCTCCAGGGAGCCGGGCCATAGAGTCCCCGGCCTGGCTCTTTAGCGCTGAACACCACCAGGCCGTGCATGCGGCTGGTATGAAGTCTGTAATCAAATTTGGGAAATCACTAAATTCTTTGCATGCTGAATAGCTATTTATATATTATATAAATAAATAAAGAAATATATATATATCTCACAAATGCAGGCCACATGTCAAATTCAGCTTTGCTTTTTACGAATGAGTAAACTTTAGAAAATGAAACATTGGAGGGGATATTTGGAAAGACATCTATTTAAATTTTTATTACACACTTGATGTTAAAAATTAAGAATGGTTTAGAAAAACATATAAATAAATAAATATATAGAGAGAGATATATAAACACACACAGTACAGATTAAACTCTATTAGAAGACACATTAGCTAACAGGGGATGTGGAATTTCAAGTGTTTTGTTATATAGCGTGGACATTTTATTTTACATATCGGAACATAAAGCCATTTTACAACTGTGAAGTGTGTGGGTGCTCTTTACTACTGACTTGTCATTTCTTGGCTCAACAGTGGTCTGTGCTTCCCCTTTGCTCGTATTTTTTCTCAAGGGCCAGATGGAGCCCTTAGGGCCGCTGACATTTGTACCATGGAGCCTCTCAGCTTAGAGGGAAGTAGTTTAGGACCACAGAGCAACTGGCCTTTGACTTCACGCTACTGCTCAGATGACGGGTCTGGATTCCAGGGCCCACGAAGGCCCGGAAGGAGAGGGTAGGCAGGACACAGAAGTCTGTCTCCTTTCAGTGGCCAACACACAAGCTGGTGATTTGGTGGGGGGCGGTCTCCCAGGTAGGGAGTTCTCAGTGGGGTTTGTGCAGCTGCTTCAGACAAGGAGCTGAGCACAGGCTCCACTTGGAGACGGGCTTTCCGGAGCTCGGGGGCGCGCTCATCAGCCACCAGCACCCTGACCGGGCCCTCCACTTGCGCGTGCCTCCGCCGGATCCCTGAGGCCTGGTCACAGGATGGAGTGGGGAAAGGGAGATGAAATCCAGTCCGGGATCACCCTACTAGATTAGAGGAGAAGCCGGTGTCAGGAGGAGCTGTTGTGTCTCCCTCCTTACAACCTGCTGCCTCTTGCCCCCTCCCCTCACGGCTCCTTTTCCAAAGCCATTCATTGCCATCCACCATCTCCAGTGCAGGTTGGTCTGGGATGCCAGGAAAAGAGAAGGCGAGGGTAAGGGTGTCTTTTCAATCCTGTTCTCATCAGGAGTAAGATGAGATTTCCTGCTGAATAAAAGGTCTGTCTTGTCTCCTGTTTCCTCAGCGTCCTTCCCTTGTGGCTCTAGGGTTTCTCCCTGGCTGGACTCCGTCCCTTGGCTGTGGGCTCCCTCCTTGGGCTTGTTGATCACCGAGGAAAACTTACCTTGGCTCAGGGCACAGGGTAGGTGGGGTGCACTCTTCCTAAGTCACACTTGCTCTGCTCTTTTCTTTCTGGGGGAAGACTGCGTTCTGGGTTGCTCCACATTCTAGAGCCCAGGCAGAGGGCTGGGAGCTAGCCGCAGGTTCCCAGGCTCTCTCCGGACACACAGTTTCCTGCGTCCCAGGTAAAGAAAGCCACTCCTAACGGGGTGGTTTGCCTTGAGGCAGCCCATAGCTTCCTACCCACTTTCTGGGAAGCAGGAGGTCCTTGGCCTTCCCCACCTGGGTACGGCTAGAGCAAGGCCTGCAGTGGGACTTGTGGAACTTTCCTGCCCCTCTGAATCAACAAGTCAATAAAAAGGGGGCACATGGGATACCCTGGAACAAAGGGCACTATTCAGTAGCGCCAACAGGTCATACATCATCGGGCCAGAAACCTGCCACATGAAAAGTGTCTGCTTCTGCTGTGCCCTGCCTGGGAAGGAAAAAAAAAAAAAAAAAAAAAAGAACGATGAACATTCATCTGTGAGGCCATAGGCAGGCAGCCCCCAGGGCTCTGCTCCCCAGCCCGGGGCCAGGCCACTAGGAGAAGCCGGAATAGGCTCTCTGCCAGCTCCCCACCCAACTGTTCTCCCTTGACAGAGGAGCCCGGAATAACAAAAGGGAGAATGCAAAGAGAAGTTGGGTCAGACTGACAAATTGTTAAAAAACCAAGCCAACTTCCAGCCTCTGCTGGGCCTCGGGAGGTCAAGAGGCCTCGGCTGGCCCCACTAATGGAGCCTGCTGGAGGGGTAGCGGCCCTGCCCCGCGGTGTCTTATCTTACAACATAAAATTAAAACCCACTTAAAAGGCCGGAGGGCATGTTAACATTCCCCCTGCTGTCTAATTGAAGTAGTTCCCAGCGCAAAGGATTTCACTTGAAAGATGTCCCCCTCCAAGCCCCAGTCCTCCTGCTTGGCGGGCAGGGGAGGGGGCGGGGAGGGAGAGACTGTGCTTTCAAAGAGCAGCTCAGGCCAGAAAAGCGCCAGGTCTGCTTGCTGCCCCCACCCAGGCGGCAGGTGGCGACAGCCAAGGTTAGGACAGGCTGTGTTGTTTTGTATGTTTTTTAATTTACAAATTCATTAGCGGCTATGTCAGCAGAGGCCAGACTCCTGACAAGATAGCCCTGGCAACGATTCAACTATGGCGAGTTCCGCAGCCAGACCTGGCAGTTCCTGCGGGCCCAGAGGTTTCTATCCTGTCCCCCAACAGGGCCCTCCTCCCTCCTATGCAAATATATTACAGGTCTCCAAGGCATACGGAATCAATCAGGGACATCCTGTAAAGGTGATGAACTCGCACCGGCCATCCTGAGTAATGGGAACCAGTCAGCCTGAAGCCGGCTGGGACTGAAAGCCAAGGTGACAGCTATTAAGCAATTGTGTGCAGAACAAAATGGCAAAGGGGCCAGGTAATCAATTCAATTTCGATGGGCAACCCAAGCAACTGCAGTGTCTGTCGCAGCTGATTAGAGAGGGCCCGGCTGGGGCTTTCAATGCGAGCCCATCACAGATCAGAAACAGGCCCGGGATGAAAAGGGAAAGAACTGTCTCCTGAGAAGCAGGCGATGAAGGACTCTGTTTTATGTGACTGTGTTCTTCCTTCTCTCCTTGAAGAAAGAGTAGAAAAAAAGCAAGCAGTTTGGAGATTAGATAGTTTTCTTTTCAGCCATTTATCATTATGAAAGAAAGTAGACAGGGCAGGGGCAGAAAAATCTCCAGTGGGATTTCTGCAAAGTCTCACTAAGAAGGACCAGGCTTACACTCTGCAGCTCAAACAGCCCCTGCTCATTACCACAGCCTGACGGGGTCTGCGCAGCGTCCAGAGTCCCTCTTCTCTAACGAGGGCAAGCAGGCCCCCTTGCTTTGAGGATCACAGAAATTCTCCTGCAGAAACCCCAAACCACCAAATTGTATCATTTGTGAAAATTAATGCCCACGTTAGAATAATGGGGAGAGGAGGCATATGGGAAAGCCAAAGATGAGACAGTTGCGCGCTGTCCCAGCAGGTTAGGCCCCAACCGTGGCCCCCTCCCACCTGGGCCCTGCGGTGTCTGCCCGAGCTCAGCGCTGGCCCCAGCCGGACGGAGGGCCCGGGCAGTCGGCTTGAAAACTCAGGGCCTGTGCCTGGTTCCCTGGTGCAGGCAGCTGGGGAGGCAGAGCAAGGGGCACCCACAGGCACAGAGGCAGGGAAAGAGACCGGAGAGGGGGCTGAGGGGGCCCTGGGCGGGGCCTGGGAGCGGATGGCAGGGGAGGCACAACCAGGAGGGAGAGGGCGGCCCTGGAGCTCAGGATGGGGAGCGAACAGCTGGGCAGGGGGGCTCTGCACTGGGGCTGGGCGGCTGGTGTGGGAGGAAAGGGGACTTAGAAACCAGGAGCAATGAGTGCCCATGATTAGAACGCTCTTAGGAGAGGGATTATAAATGGCTGATTAACCTGAACAAAACTAACCTCATCAATAATCTAAAATGCTAATTAAGTGACAAAATACCCATTTTATCTAACAAATTAATAAACTTATAAGAAAAGATGTGGGGAAACGTCTCTCAGTCATTGCTGAGATTGTCCTAATCTTTCTGGAAAAAGCACTTTGGTAGTATGGACAAAAGCTCGAAAAGTGCTCACATCCCAAAGACAATAACCAGCACAGTGAACATAGCTAAATGCTCTATAATATTCATTGTGTTATTTCACAATGTGTTAATTCATTCAGTATTATTTTTAATGGCCCCAAATTGTCAGAAAGTAAATTATGGCTAAGTAAATTATGATACACCCTTATTCTGGAATATGATATAGTCATTGAAATTATGTTTACAAAGTGAATT